TTGAACCACTTTCAGGCCTTTGAAAACGACGAGTCCGTCGAAACGTCGGCCAGAATAAATATTCCACCTACAAACCTCGAGGCAGAAGCAAAAACTAACGATTTCAAGAATAACGAAGATTGTCAAATTTGAAGTCAAGCTATGTCTTCTCAAGCGTTATCGTTTGATCCGCATTGTGATTGTAATTTGTAATTTTTTGTAGGAATCAATATTCAAGGCCAAGTGCTTGTTGACGAAAACACCTGCATTGCCAACGCTTCTGTTTCAGAGGAGCAGTTTCTCCGGTCTCGAAAACGGCGTGCAGCGCTTGATGCCTCCCCGCCAGTCCGATGACGTCGTAGTTGATCTTCCTAGCTTGCATCGTCGAAACTTCAATACACCTTTCAAATTTAGGCACTTATGCACTGAAAGTACAGACTGTCATCAGAGTCTCTCTTCTTTTAAGTAGCATTTTGTGGTCTTGAAACTTAAGCAAGCGCTCTTTAATGGTCTTACCATGCGCTTGTGTGTTGGAGGCTTCCTCAGCTTCAGTGGGATGAGACCCATCTACATTACTGTTTTCGGCATGTGAGTGCCCACGAATAGCCTGCCAGGCTCTGACTGAAAGCTGGTTTGACTCGGGGTAGTCCTAGGGTGGGCGAGGGGCTCTGATTTTGAAGTTTGTCGAATTTCCTTCTTGATACAGTCACTCGGATGCAAGCATTTGGCTGAATATATATTGGCTTTGACAAAATATCAACGGCACATGGAGACCATGCCCACATATTTACATAGTACCCCTGCAAGGGTACAGAAGGAATGAATTTCCCCAATGCTGCAGAGAAGGTGACTTCACCCCTGGATCCATCCAGGTCTTTTGGCAAGTACCGGTGATTTGTTTCGCCATTAATTTCCTACCCCCCGCCTGTTGTCGCGCCAAGTAGCCTCATCATCGACCATCAGAAATCCTACATGAGAGAGATGCCAGTGAAAGAATTCATGTAGGAAGCGCTGAACGAATGGGATCGAAGCCTCTTATTGGATCGCAGAATCAAATGGCAAGATGGAGTTTAAAGTAACTTTTAAACTTGCTGTGTTCCACGTTGTTAACTTAACATACAAATGCGAAAACAGTTCTGATAAAATTGCCCACCACATAGACTCCTGTTTTGTAGAAGCTAAAATCGTCATAAACGGTGAATGCCGCTTGAACTGGTCCTTTGTTCATAATTTGCATTTGAATTGCCTCCTCAAATCTTGGAACCCTGTATGCAGCTTTTGCTGAAAATGGAAGTTGAGCACAGGTAAAGGAATTGCAATTTATTATGCAATACAATGATTAGAAAACAAGAGCAGTAACAACAAGGGTCGGTGCTTTGAAACCTGAGCATACTTAATAATACTCTGCCGTACAGGTTTGTTGAGCACAGGTAAAGGAATTGCAATTTATTATGCAATACAATGATTAGAAAACAAGAGCAATAACAACAAGGGTCGGTGCTTTGAAACCTGAGCCTACTTTATAATACTCTGCCGTGCTGGCCTGTTACGGTAAAACCGCTTTAGTATATGGTAAAATTACGAACCAATCGTCGTCATTGAAGAAAATAGTAAGAAGCTCCTGAGTAGTGTTAATGCTGATAAAACCACAGAAAAATGATTACTTCACAGGAATTTTCTGCGTTCGACTTTTTCGGCATCGCTGCAACTGATCTGGTGCGTTTGGACTCCTAATCGTGCAAGTCAACGATGAAGAGCTCTAATTAGTTATGCAACTCCTAAGCGCTTGAAGACAACGATTTGCTATCAACATTCGCCAACTATGTTGTCACAACAAATATGTACAACAGAGCAACACACCGTCAGTATTCTATAGCCGCGAAAGGCCAGATTTCAAGTTCATTTGTTCATATGGGAGGCCCAACTCCCGCCCAATTAAAGGAACAGTTCACGTTCAAAATGGTTTCTGAGGTTTCTCCCTCGACTGAACCTATGACCCCCTTGGACCCTGAGCGACGTTGTCGGATAGAAAAACAGCAAAGACCCAGAACCAGTTTAGCCGACA